AGGCGCCTGCCACAACGCCCTTCCGTTTTTTTGGTTGCAGCCATCATTGCTGTTTGGCAGGCCCGGGCTGGGGATTCAAACCTGCCACCTTAGGTGTACGTGGCTGGCGCCTTAGCTGCTTGAGCCACAGGCGCCGAGCCAACCTCAAACTCTTGAGCTTAAGTGATTCTCTTGCCTCAGCCTCCCAAGTAGCTGAGACTACAGGCGCCCACTACAATGCCTGGCTGTTTTTTTGTTGCAGTTGTCATAGTTGTTTAGCTGGTCCAGGCTGGGTTTAAACGCATCACCCTAGGTGCATGTGGCTGGCACCATAACCCCGGTGCTACGGGTGCCTCCCCTCCCCTGTGTCTCTTATCTTTCCATTTTTTTCTTCCTTTCTTTTTTGTTTTCAAGTTCTTCTTCTTCATACCCCTTATTTGGGTTTTCAGCACTGTGTATTCTTTCATTAATTTATTTTTCTTACATTTTTATATAGCATGTGTTTTTGTTTTTGTTTTAAGAGACAAGGTCCACTTTGTCACCCAAGCTGGAGTGCAGTGGTGCTATCATCATAGCTCACTGCAGCCTATCTTCTTGGGTTCAAGGAATCCTTAAATCACTGGGATTGCAGCTGTGAGCCACTGTGGGTGGCCATGACTTTTTTCTTTGTAACTCATGTTTTCCAAACATTTCTCAGCAATATTTTCTTTCATCCCTTTAAGATTTTCACTAGGCTTTTCTCCTGTTGCAATTGTTTTAATCTGTTTTTTTCCACGGCATCTGCCTCTGCAGGTGGGTGAGCCTGGTCACCCTCCGTCAAGGTATTATGCTCTTACATACTTTGTCCTCTTTCAGGTTGCGCTTTTGGGGTTGGTAGGCAGTGAGAGGCAGGAAAGTGAACATTTCAGCTCTCAGGATTCCCTAGGTATGAATGTGAGAGATGAGGCCTCCCCCACAGCTTGAGCACTTTGGAACAAACAGTCCTAATGCACCATATTAGCAGGCTCTCCCAGGGACAAACCAGGCCAGCCTTTTCTTCTCCACATGCTAAGGGGATTTCCTCCAGCCTTTACAGGCTGCACCCCTAGAGAACATCCCCAGAGTCTGCATCAGCTGCTAGCATTTTCACAGTAACATTCAGATAGGTCTGTACAGTCTACTTGAGAACTCAAGGCTTCATTCAACTACTGGCTCCTCTCCCACTCCAGCAGCGAGCCATACTTATTGTGTAATCCCCCAGGAAGCACAGAGGCAGGCAGTGCTATGAAGTAAAAGCACCATCTTCTCTAAACCCTACTTACTGCAAGTTACATATAACTAATCATCATCACTTGCAACTAGTTCATACACAAGAGAATGCTTATCTCATGGGGGAGACTGGATCTCTCTTGTACCCAGAGAAAAGGAACCAGTTTCTTCTACTTCTAGTAAACAAGAGGCCTAGAAATGCGTCCTAGAAATCTTTCAGACATTTCCCAGAGCAAGCAGATGTGATATGGAGCAATTAGAAGTGATACACAGTACTGCTAAAGAAAAGATGTCCCCTGACCCTTGATACTGGAGAATAGGAGAAAAGCAAACTGCCTCAATTTTAGAAGACAGGGCATTCTTTTAGTCACTTAAACATGTCATGCTCCCTGCTATGGGCCTTCCACACTGGTCCTCTTTGCTGGACCACTCCTCGACCAACTTAATCCCCTACCTGTTCAATCACTCTTGCTTTTTCTTCAGGGTTCAGTTGACATATCACTTCTTTTCCTAAACATTTTTTTAAAGAGACAGGGTTGCACTTGTTGCCCATGCTGGCTTCGAACTCCTGGGCTCAATCAGTCATCCTGCCTCAGCCTCCCAAGTAGCCTGAGACTATAGGCACACACCACCATGCCCTGCTGAAACATCAAAGATGTCTTCTTGTCAGAGGAGAGACTGGCCTTTAGAAAGGGCTTATGCTTTCACCAGAAATTGTGTCACTTTCCGAGGTCAGGTCCATTTAGCCCCATTTCGCAGAAAAGAGTTTTCACCATTTGAGAATCGCGATGAATGAGCTTCAGCCCAGCTAAGCTGCAGAAATGATTCCCATTGATAATATGAACGTGATGTCATATGAAACTCAAAGTGATTTTTTAAAAAATGTATGGATGTGAAATTCACTATTCTGCTTTTCCTGGCATCTTCTGGGAAGGAGTAAAATCAATAAAAGGTGAAACTGAAACAAAAGAAACATGGAACCTATACTTTTTATTTCTGATAATCTAAAGATACATGTCCAAAATATTCTAAAAAAAATTAAGAAGAAAGGCACTTTTAAATGATAAAGAGCCTTGAACTTAACATTTTTTGTTAGTAACTCTTCTTGTGCTTACAATACAGGCTCAAAGAGAAACAGGAAGAAAAAAAGGAAGAAACTTAGGGGAATTTTCCTCCTAAAGTGTTTTCTGCCCAAAGAACTATCTTTACCTTTAAACCAATCGGTTCAGTTCAAACCAGCAAAGTATCGCTTCTCGGCCTTTTGGCTAAGATCAAGTGCAAATCAGCAAAGTAGAAAGTCACTGCCAGCTCCATAATTTAATCATCAGAGATAACTACTACTAATGCGTTGGTATTTAACATTTCATACTTTAAGCACAAAATAAGTTTATATAATATATAGGCTAACTATTACAGCAAAAGAGTAGGAACAACCCAAACGTCCATCAGTGGGCATTGATAATTATGGCAGATGCATACAATGGAATGTTATTCAGCAATAAAAAGAAATGAGGTACTGATCCCTGCATGTATGAACTTGAAAACACGCTCAGTGAAAGAAGCCAGTCACAAAAGAACAAACATCATATGTTTCCATTCACATAAAATGTCCAGATTAGGAAAATCCATACAGAGAGAAAACAGATTAGTGGTAGCTTAGGGCTAAGGGTAGGAAAAGCAGGAGGAGACAGCGGGAGTCAGTGCTAGTTGGTCTGGGATTTCTTTTAGTGAAAACAAACAGGTCGTGAAATTAGATTGTGGTAATGATTACACTGCTCTGTGAAAATACCAAAAAACACTGAATTTTACACTTTGAATTCAAATACCTGGTATTTGAATTATGTCTCAATAAATTCGTTAAAGAAAAGGCAACAAATATTTATACAGGAGATTCCGTAACTGCTACATCCTCTCTTTGATGTATCACAGACAGGGTTCCATCTCAACAAGACACCCGGCTACACCGCTACTTCAGAGTAACTGGAAAATGTTCCACTGTCCTTTACTTACCGAAGCCGTATTATTAGACAGAACTTTTTTCCAATTACCATATTAAATACCCATGTATATACATGTCTCTGCACACAGTGTGATTATTTTCATAGGAAACGAAAAATAGGACTGAGGGCACAGAGTCTGCACACTATAAAATGGTACACATCGCTCCTCCCCCAGAAAGGCCACACTAATTCACACTCATCCCAATAAACAATACTTTTTTCTCTGTACTTCCACTAACATTGATCACCACCAAATTTCATTAATTTCTGACAACAGATTCACAATAGATAATGATGGGTAACACATACTATATGTTAGTGGCAGCTCAGGGCTCAGGGTAGGAAAAGCAGTAGGAAGAAAGTGGGAGTCGGTGCTGGTTGGTGCTTATTTCCAATTACTATATTAAACACTCATGTATATACATGTCTTTGCATATAT